TTATGAGGTTATTTCAAGTTTAAACCCTATTATCATGAATATTGGGATAATAAATGCATGGCTGGAATCATTTTGTCCCCAAAAAGGGCAGTATAATTTAGTTGCATGGGCAAAGAAATGCCTAATTCATGATAACAATAACATTTCAGTTATAGCGCTTTATCATAATATACAAAGCGCATGTATGTGTACTTCCATATAGATTGTTTAAGATACATATATTTAGTGTACAAGACGTCGTATGAATTTATGGATATCATTTAATCATGTCGTTAATGATTAAATATTCATCAACGTGGTCTAGTTGAGAAAAAAAAATCATCACCGTGTGTAAAATATGAGAGAAGAAAGTTGAATATCAAATACATCCAAAAAGTGTTTGTGTAACGCGCTTCAAGACGCTTTTATAAAACCGTCTTGAAACGGCAAAAAAGTTTACGTTGATATGATTTTTTTTCTCAGAAAGGAATTCTAAATAGAACGGAAAATGTTATCTCACTGGTCAAAAGAAATAGTCCTGTAAACCTTTAACCAACTAAACTAACTCAATATTTAACTCTAATGTCACTTTCTTTCACATTTCATTTTCATGTTATCTCTGTTTTCTTTCTAATACTTCAAGCATGCGGATTGACAATATTCTGATTTTAAGTTTGTCGACAAACCTTACCTTTGCATCATGTTGCTGTTACTTTCTCTTTTATTGTATATAATGAAACAACAAACCTATACTTGTACTGAACATAAATATTATTATTGGGACGATTCAGTTAAGTGTCCATTTTTTGTTTTATAGCGCAAAAGGTTTCACATCAACAAATATCATGAATGTAAAAATAATTCTCTAATTACAGAAACAGAAACTTTAATTTCTTACCGATCAAGAGAAACACCGCCAAATATGGAGTGAAAGTGAAGAGAACGTAATTTTTCCGCTGCAAAAACATGTTTCGTGTCCCGAAATACAGCCGACAGTTTAGATCATCATTAAGTTTCTCAAATCATTTGAAGGCCTAATACGGGAATCTACTCAAAATTCCGACATGACGAAAAGTACCCTCCTGAAATGCTCTAGTGGTGATTACTATGAAGAAGCGAATAAATCATACGATGAGCTGCAGTCGGTCCGCTGGTTTTATTCAAATTGTCTTGTCCACGAATGTGAGAACATAAAACCAATCAGGAAATGACCATCTCTGAATTTATTCGGATTTCAGAAAAGAAAAGAAAAACGTGTTTTATGGCGCCTTCCGTCATCCACTCCCTACACTCTTCGGCGGGGAATGTCTTTCGCAGCACAAAATACGTTCTAGTAGATCAGGGAGTTCCCTATCAACTCACTGTGTAGATTTTACAATAAGGAAGGAGAGAACAAATTTACCCGGTTATCCATCGAGTTTTCTTCCTAAGTGTGAGTGTGAGAAACTAAAAACCTATATTTATCATTTCAACCGACAACCGTTACCTAAGCGAGAGTAGATAAATTTATTTTGTTCTGATCACTTGAAGTCGAGCATGATGATTCTGTACTTTTTAAAACCATTAGTTCCCACGAATTAGAAGGGTTATTTTTCTCTCTCTCCCTCCTTCCCCTTTATCTGTAATAAGTTGATGAGCATCGAAAGTGAAGTTAAAGGGTTGGTGTGATCGTGATTGCAACCAATGGACAAAATAAAAGTGTTCGCAAAGGTCGTGTGCTTTAGGCGTAGCAGGGGGCAATACGTTGAGGGGGCACTTATAATTTATTCATCCATTAATTGACCATTTTGATAGCAAAACCAATTTGTAAAAGCAGTTCAAATATACTAATGCATACAAAGTTTACATAGTTGTATTTTATTGTATTGTATTGATTAAACTTCATTGATGTACATCAATATTCTGTAAACATATATATACCGTATAAATCAATTTACGATGGAGTGTTTATAGCAAAACAGAAGAAAACTTATATCCAGCAGATACACTCTTTTTTTCTTTTTGTAATATTATTCAAAATTATATTTTACAAAATACATTCCCAATGATTGACAGGGATCATAATTTAGATTAGAAATGGATAAGAATCGAACAACATGTTACATTTGCATCGGCAGGGAGGGGGCATCCTTACTCCCCGAATGAAGTGCGAATCATCAAAGCCTTTCACCCCTCTCTCTTTCACTTTCTGTCTTTTTGTCTCCTTTTTCGTATTTATTTTATGGGGAAGACACTCACGCATCCGGTGTCCTTGGAAGCTACGCTCTGTATTGGCATTTTTAAAAGTGGAAACTGTTTACAGTTCTAAGACATTCATTTTCGCTCTTAGATCTCGAGTTCACCTTTCTTTGTTTTTTTTAATACTTTTATATGATTGGTGCTACCTTAATTCGTTGTTTGTGCTGTGAGAAAATTATCACTACTTTTGCTTTCATTTTTGACGAGCGGCTTGTTGAATGCCTCTCCAAATAAGAAAGGTTATGCTCAGTAGCTTATCATAACGTACAGTTGATAGCTAAATTATTCATACCCCCTTGTAAATTTCACGCTCTTTGTCTTTTTCGAAACTACGAAAGGTGGACTGGTTACGACATGTGGTGTCCTGCTTTTTCCTTTTGTAAGAAACTTTTATCTTAACTAGAAACATATTTTGTCAAACTTACATGTTATTCATTATATTTATTTGTATGTTTCTTTGTATTGATATGAAAAAGTGGAAATAAAACAAAACAAACAAACAAGTTGGTTCCTTTGTTGAATACTTTTAGATGTAAATCGGGGCAAATCAATTTCTCACATACTTAAAAAGCTAAAAAAAAACTTGGTAATCATAGGGTATGAATAATAATAGTTTTTAATTATTGTATCCCTGCTCTTCTAGCCAATGCTAATGAAGTAGGATATCTTAAAAAGTGCCATAGGGTTAAATAGGGTTCATAAATAGCGATGTCACCCTAAATATTTACGTCAAATGATACTCCTTTAACATCCGATTATTTCAAAGAAGTTTGTAAGATAACAACGAAAGTATAGGGCAAACGAAACTGAAAATTAATTGATAACTACGATACTTTGCATGAATTATTATTGAAGTGGGTCATTATTGTAACCATCTAAACACTTCCCATCCCTTTCTCTCTCCATCTTTTTCTCTCTCTATCTTTCTCTCTCTCTCTCTCTCTCTCTCTCTCGATCTCTCTCCATCTTTTTCTCTCTCTATCTTTCTCTCTCTCTCTCTCTCTCTCGATCTCTCTCCATCTTTTTCTCTCTCTATCTTTCTCTCTTTCTCTTTCTCTCTCTTGTTCTCTCTCTATATATTTCTGTCTCTCTATCTCTCTCTTTAGTCTATCTTTGTCTCTCTCTCTCTCTCTCTCTTGCTCTCTCTCTCGCTTGAGCGCTCTCTCTCTCTCGCTCTCTCTCTCTCTCTCTCTCTCTCTCTCTCTCTCTCTCTCTCTCTCTCTCTCTCTCTCTCTCTCCCTCTCTCTATATAATATACTGTATCTTTATCTGTATCTCTCTATCGGTAGTAGAGCTCCCTCTTTTGTTCTCTTTCTCTCCTCAAATTTTAAATGAATCCCAGCAGCAAGTAACAAGCATGATGCAATTTGAAAATCATGATGCGCCCGCCGCCTCATGCTTAATTCTTCTGTTTCAGTTTTGATATGCTTGTTACTTTTTTTCTCCCTCAAAGGTGTATTCATTATTACGCCTAGTAAGTGCCCCTTTTCAGGTAAGGGCCCGGCTTTACCTCTGATTAATTGCCCTATTCAAATCTGAGAGGTGCCCCTTTTTTCCTAATAAGTGCCCCTTAAAATAATGGAAAGTGCCCTCATTTAAAAAAGAGCCCCTTCCCCTTCTCACAAGTGCCCTTTTTCATCTCTGGTAAATGACCCTTTTCAGGTACAAGAAGTTACTCCTTTTCCCTTCAGATATGTGCCCCTTGGCAACTTGTATAATTACCCTTATATTCAAATCTGAGAGATACTCGTTTTACTTTGACAAGTGCCCCTTTCCCTCGCATTTATAGATGATAAAATTATGTTACTTCAATGGACTATTCAGTCTTCCGTTATGAGAATGTGAATATAACCCTATCACGATTGGTTTTTTTTATTCTTTATAATTTTTCGCACTGCGACCTCACAAATCTTAAATCATTTTGTCCTCGCTCGCGGGCATGGTGGCTCAATGGTTAGAGCGTCCGCCTCATGAACGGGAGGTCGTGGTTTCGATCCCCGGCCGAGTCATACCAAAGACTTATAACAATGGGACTTTCTGCCTTCTAGCTAGGCGCTCAGCATATTAGATTGGAGAAGGGTATGTTATGCAGGGCCCGCTGGGAGAGCAGTTTCATAACTGAAGTGGCTACCCTGGGTAAATAAAACGTTATTATTATTATTATTTTATTTTATTATATTTTCGCTTAGAGATTTCCCTTCGTAGGTGCATGCCCCTTTTTTCTTCCAGAAAATGCCTTTTTTTGGTGGTGCCCCCCCCCCCCCATATATTTCCCCGGGCTATAGGCACAGAAATGATTTTCTGTGCCTATAGCACAGAAAATCACTGAATTTTCTGTGCCTATAGCACAGAAAACCACTGAACTAAAAATCAAATTTTTAGTTCAGTGGTGATAGTTGTTGTTGTTGTTGTTGGTTGTATTTCTATTATATTTCGTAGAAACTCAGTGACTGCTTCGTTAAAGGAGCACTAAATTCAATGTTTACGTAGTTTATTACGTGGGAATACGTAGCCTTTATTCAGGCCAAATAGTTTCCGCTATGAGCACTTTGGCAGTAAATATTTGCGTTTGATGTCGAAATTGCGTGGATATTGAAAATTGTATAATATAATTGTGATCAAGAGTGCTACTGATAGATTATTCTATGACGAAATATCATATGAAAATAAATATTAGCCCCAGATGTTTTACCCCAGCACAAACATCATTAAGCTATCAGCTCGTTACAAACATTTGAGGCTTGAACAAGACCATACGTTGACGCCTACATTTTCCACTAGGCCTACGAGAAGTCTAAGAATATATATCCATATTTTATTCTAAAATCATAAGTTTTGTGACCAAGATCCTTCTCTAGAATCAAGATGACGGTTTACAGTGTGTATATCATCAACAGAGCAGGAGGTTTAATTTATCAGCTAGATCATGCCAACCCTAAAACAGAAGTGGAAAAGACGTTCAGTTATCCGCTCGAGTTAACGCTGAAGATAATGGACGAAAGAGTCGTCGTCGCATTCGGTCAAAGAGACGGAATACACGGTAAGTCAGTGTACCTGTGTGTGCAGCGCACTATACCAATCGACTCGAAATAGGCCTATTTTTACTTTCATGTGTCTAGATCTAGTTCTTAGTCTTATATTATCACTTACATTCAGATGATATTTAGTGAGTCACTGTGAGTGTGCTCAACAGAAGAAAGAAGATAATCAAAACATGAATAAGATTAAGTTTGTCATTTCCACAAGGCGGCTGGTTAGTCGAGTTTTTCTTGTTTCAAACGCTAGACGGGTCTAGACCTACAGTAGAAGTCAAAAGGCTCCCATGTACTCTGCACACTCACTCATTATAGTTGCATGCACACAGTGTCTTGAAGTGCAATATAGCATGTTAAGTTAGCAGTTGATGAGGCTTGAATATGTGATTGATGAATAATATAAAACTACTGAAATAACAAAAAACAAATGAGACTTTCGCAATATTTGTCATTTTCTGTTTCTGTTTCTGTTTCGGTTGCGTCGGTATACTCGGGGTTAACTGTACTTCACCAACGTTTCTTCTTCCAGTGTAAGTGCTGCTTCAGTGTGATGAAGATAAATGGACCAAATGTGTGTGTATATGTGGAGACTTTCACATACGGTATCCTGTTATTCCATATTGCATGAATGCATATCGCTTAAGAAGATAGATCCAAATTTGATTCTTAATTTTACTCAGAATTCATTCTAAATTTGCATGGAATGCATTTCGACCATGAATGATGCTAATATTGCAGATTTTCAAAATAATTTGATGCAAACAGGTTCAGATAAATTTTGGTAATGTTTGCTTTGTTGTTTTTCTAATCAGTTGGACACACGGTGCTAGGCGTGAATGGTGATAATGTCAAAGGTCGTCAGCTGGAGGATGGTCGTGAGGTGCTTGAAGTGATAGCCAATCAGGAGAATTACCCGATAGCGATCAGGTTTGGACGGCCCAAACTCTCCACCAATGAGAGGATCATGTTGGCTAGCATGTTTCACTCGTAAGTATCCATAGGAAAATGGATAGCTATCTATCCCGGTATATATAATATTTGATATTTCTGTCCCATATCTTGGAGGCCGTTGGGGCGACAATTAATTGGACCTTGAGACACAGGTTTTCCATAACTTTCTGTCATAAGCTGCTCAAATGACAATCTTGTTAACTGCTTGCTGCTATCAGGCCATGTCCTAGTAGGTCTGATCCTCTTCCTTTTTCCATTAGTGCCTCCTTGCAACATAGAGGCTGTTCACACCGGCAGAGATAGCGCGGTCTAGCGCGCGCTATCTCTGCCGGTGTGAACAGCCTCATACATGTAGATACCAATAAAATGAAGAATGGGTGCAGTGAGTGATTTAGCTTGAAGAGCTCTTAAGGTGGATAAAATAGGATCCCTTTGTAAATAACTTTTAAATAAACGGTGACAGACTTTAAAACTTGTTGGAAGTAAATACATAAAGAGCTTTCATTTTTTTTTAATTGTGCTTATCTCATTTCATCCCCAATGTATATCTTTAGGTCATTATGTTATAGCCTGAACATAGCCTGATGTTATTAGATCTTCAGATTATTTCTTTATTCCAGTCTGATTTGTCACTGAATTAGTGTCCAGCATGTTCAATACTCATGACTCGCCCAAAGATATTTTTAGCTTCATCTTTAATTGGGGAAAATTTTTTGTTACCCTTTTATACACTTTTACACACTTTTACAGACTTATACAGACTCCCCCCCCCCCCCCCCATACTGCTGATATGCACTGTGAATAAGGGAAGCTGTATGTTTGTCCCAAAAGCCTTTTATCAGTTAGTGTGTGTGTGTGTGTGTGTGTGTGTAGTTTAACAATATCAGTGCGTTAATTTATCAATAGTGTATACATGAAACATGACTGTCAAATGAGTTCAAGAACTTCAAGCCAGGCATGCTGTTAAAAAAAAAAAATCTTATGTCATTTACCACATGACAGTGTACTTCAGCATTACAAATTGTATTGCACATACATGATGTATGTGAAAGTGATTTGTGATTAATGTTATAGAAAATGAAAGCAGTGTCGTTTTCAAGAATAAATCACCATTATGGGTCATGTTTATCCCACATAAGTGCAAAAGACGTCGGTCTACTCTAACCGATACAAACAAGCAATAATTGATAAGTGTAGCCTATGGGTTCATCCTTCCTGAGTGAACTTTCCTAATGTCATCAATCATTTTATCTTTCTCCTCTCTCTCTTTCTCTCTCTCTCTCTCTCTCTCTCTTCTCTCTGCCTCTCTTTCTTCTCTCTGCCTCTCTCTTCTCTCTGCTCTCTCTCTCTCTCTCTCTCTCTCTCTCTCTCTCTCTCTCTCTCTCTCTCTCTCTCTCTCTCTCTCTCTCTCTCTCTCTCTCTCTTCTCTCTCTCTCTCTCTTCCTTCTCTCTCTGTCTCTCTCTCCCTTCTCTCTGCTCTCTCTCTCTCTCTCTCTGCTCTCTCTCTCTCTCTCTCTCTCTCTCTCTCTCTCTCTCTCTCTCTCTTCCTTCTCTCTCTGTCTCTCTCTCCCACACACTCATATATATTGCTCTCTTGCTTTCTTTATGTCCGTCTGACTCTCCTGTGTCTCCTACTGTGTGTCCTCCTCTGTCACCCCTTCTCTTTCTCTCTCTCTCTTCTTCTCCTGTATCTTCTATCTATTTTCTGCCCTCTCACCCCTATTATTGCTTTTTTCTATTCTCCTTCCCTCACCCCGCCTCTTATTCGCTTGAATACTTTGCTCTATTATTCTCTTTTCCTCTCTATTCCTCTCTCTACCCTCTCCATCCTCTTCCCCTCCCTCTCTTCCTATGCTCCCTCACCTTCTCTCATACCCCTCTCTCATACCCCTCTCTCTTGCACTCCCTTCATCTCCTCTCACCACTCCCTCTCTTGGCATCCCTCCATCTCTCTCTCTCTCTATCCCTCCGTCTCGCTCTCTCTCTCTCTCTCTCTCTCCCTCTGTCTCCCTCTGTCTCCATCTCTCTCTCTCTCTCTCTCTCTCTCTCTCACTCTCACTCTCAGGTTATATGCCATTGGAAGCCAGCTATCACCAGAGCAAAGGTCATCAGGTATTCAGCTTCTTGAGACAGACGCATTCAAGCTATATTGCCATCAGACACTCTCAGGTAATACCTTAAACCTTTCAATGTATATCTACATGTAGTACTGGTTAAAAGCAAAAAAAAACATGACAGAAAATTATCTTAGTATGTGATGCCGGACAGATAATGCAAGTACATTCGACTTAAACAAATTAATTAAAGGAGCAGACAGCTGAGATCTCATGGGTAAAGCAAATCTGGCTGGATTTTTGTAGGTTTATTTGTAAATTTTTTGTTTTGTTTAATTGGTTGTCATTGTATTTTGTAAATAGCGCTTAGAGACTTGGGTGGAAAGCGCTTTATGAGCACCATTTTTATTATTATTCATTAGGTATTCTTACTGTACAGGCAGGACTTGACATGCATTTACAGTGAATCTAAACATATTGGCCCAAATTCACAAAGGAGGTTTGTCGACAAACTTTGGTTTTTTATAAATGTAATGCTTCCTGGGAGAAATTTCAATTATTAAATATATTTGTGGCTTCCTTTGTCGACAAACCTCCTTTTGTTTCGACAAACCTCCTTTTGTTATTTACAAACCAGGTTTGTAAAAAAAACGCGTCAAAACGCGTCATATGACGTACATAAACCTCGGTTTGTCGACAAACCTCCTTTGTGAATTCGGGCCAAACCCTTTTTACCTTTACATGACATTATTTCATAATGCAAATGTTAATGAATTCTATTCTTTATTGACAGGTGTGAAGTTGATCGTGCTCGCTGACCCCAGGCAAGGCACTATGGAAGGACTACTGAAGAAGATCTATGAACTTTATGCGGATTACGCTCTCAAGAATCCATTCTACTCAATAGACATGCCAGTCAGGTGAGCTCTTGATTCAAGATTGCATTATTTGCAGTAACTAAGCTTAAAGATAAAGACCGGTAGTGGTAAAATTGCGGTTCAAAGGTTTCGGGTGCAAAATATCCTTTCAATATTGTTTAAATATTGCCTTCAGAGGTTTTGATGGCAATACTTCTACCTAAATTTGCAAAAAAGCAGAAATATATGCCTAAATGTTAAACGTTGAAGTGCATTCGCGATATCTATCCAGGCCGGATCGATATGATAATTTACCAAATATATCAATTAGTAGGCGGTTTCCCAGCAAATATTGTATCATCACGTATTAGTCAAAACATATTCTTTCACATGATTGGTATTAGAGCTTCCATTTCATTTTGAGAGGGGGGCGTTTCCAAAACTGGGCTGTACCTTCAACTCGTTCCATAATTTGGGTAGGAAATCCCATCCAAGAATGTAAATATTTTACACTCTGAGGTTCTGCTTGTAGGAAAAAATAAAACAATATTTAATTCTTTCTTATGAGTGTTCCAGTTTGAAAAAAGTCCAATCAGTAGTGATTCTTGATTATTACTACCACGTACAGGGATGGTCACTAAATGTAAGCTGATTTAGCTTTCTCTCCGATAGTAAGGCTCAAGGTTTGCTCACAAGATATATCGTTGTAAATTGTCACAGTTCAATGCTGCAGTTTTTTGTGCGATAAATAACGAAGGTCCTATGCTTACACACTCATCTGTGTTCTATGTGATACTAATCCGAAAACTGAACGAACTTCCCTATCTAAATCTACTAACAGTTGTGGTCAAGCTGGAGGTGTGCAACTGTAATGTAGTACAAGTCCTAAGGTACTTTTTAGGGGGTCTACTCGCTATTTATAAGGACCGCTATTCATAAACGACTGTGCTAGTCATTTAGTCACGCGTTATGGATAGTTGTCCTTATGAATAACGGTCCTTATGAATGTGGTCCTTATGGATATCGGCCCTTATAAGTGCTACTAAAGGTTTAGTGCTACATGGACCTTTTTCTTCATTCTCTTCCTCTTCCCATTCTTGTTCTATTTCAGATGCGAGCTTTTTGATTTGAACCTCCAAGCCACCTTAGAGGCGACTGAGAGAACCACTTTCTATGCTCCAGGCTCATGATGACTGAGCCAAAGAGAGAGAGAAATGTAACATTCAATGAACAAGAAAGACTATGTTCTGGACTTATGTCAGAGACATGTAGTTCTCACAGAGAATTTCACACCATTCAGGTGTGATAAATCACAGAGAGTCGACTTCACTTTAATGACCAATGGACTCCACTTCATGTGTCCACCCTCCACTCACTTCAACAAGACAGAAAGCTTTGAGAGGCTTCTGTGGGACACCCAAGTTTTGGCTCTGGACATACGAGATATGTCAGTTCTCACAGGCAATTTAACACCATTCAGGTGTTGTCATTCACGGAGAGTGGACTTCACTTTTATGACCAATGGACTGCACTTTGAGTGTCCACCCTCCACTCACTTCAACAAGACAGAAAGCTTTCAGAGGCTTCTGTGGGACACCAACTTTTGGCTCTAGACTTACGAGATACGTCAGTTCTCACAGAATTTCACACCATTCAGGTGTTGTTAATCACAGAAAGTGGACTTCACTTTAATGACCAATGGACTGCACTTTGAGTGTCCACCCTCCACTCACTTCAACAAGACAGAAAGCTTTCAGAGGCTTCTGTGGGACACCAACTTTTGTCTCTAGACTTACGAGATACGTCAGTTCTCACAGAATTTCACACCATTCAGGTGTTGTTAATCACAGAGAGTGGACTTCACTTTTATGACCAATGGACCGCAGTTCATGCGTACACCCTCCACCCGCTTCAACAAGACAGAAAGCTTTTAGAGGCATTCAGAGGCTTCTGTGGGACACCAAGTTTTGCTACTGGTCCATGCTGTCTTGATAGACACAGCAACTGGTTATTCCCTGGTACTTTCACCAAGTCTGGTGTATGCACACTATGATGCAATGAACGTAGAAACAGATGTGACTATATCTTTATCCCATTATCAGCAAGGCCTTGTTGGTTCCTGCTCTCAGTGTAGGGCAATAGGAGAACTCGGTAGTAAAGAGGTTAACGGTTGTTGGACCAAGAGATTTTTTTGTGAATTGGAGGAATTATAAATTTATAGTGAGAAACGAAGCAAATCCGCTGTTGAATTTGCTTGTTGGATATGCTCTTACGATTACTGCAGATATGAACATGATGTGATAAGGTTGATCTTATACACTCTAGCTGTACACAACTTATTTTAAGGGATTGGTACACATTAACTTACAGTTTCATGTCATACCTTACACCTACTTGTAAAGTACTGTACACATGTATGTGATATGCATATAATTTAAAAGAAAGGGGGGGGGGTTGAATCAGTCCTTATACATGTTCTGTCACATGGAAAATATGAACAAGTGCAATATGTTTGGTTATAGAGATGCCATGCATGTGGGATAATGGAACTGATAAAATAGGCTTAAACCTTCAACCAGATGGATGGAAACGGATGGAAAATAATATAAAACTATAGAAAAGGTTTGTGGAAACCATCTGATGAAATCGATCAGCAAAATCATGAAGTAAAGAAATGCTTGGATTTTCCTGAATGAACATGACACATTCAATGTTAAATAAGAACATTTCGTAATTTACACAATTTGCTTTTGTATCCCCAACATGTACGTGTGCATACTTCCCCTTTATAAATGCATTTTGTGTAAATTAATTATATTATATTATTATGTTATATTATATTGTAAAAATGTATTAGTATTGTTAAAAATAAAAAGGGAAAACAAAATAATATGTTGATATGAACTATTTTTTTGTTGTTGCAAACATTGTTGAATGTCTGTCACTTTTTTCATCTCTTTTTTTAGGTAGAGTCACATATATTTATCTCCCTCTGTCTATATTATTCATTTACGTTTTTTTTCTGTAAGTGAATTTATTTTGCTGGTTGCCTCACCTCGACCCTCCCAACCCCCCCCCCCCCCAAAAAAAAAGAGAGGAGGGAGAGAGAGAGAGACTGTGATAGGAGAGTACATTGGGGAGAGAGAGGGAGAGAGAGAGAGAGAGATAGTAAGAGGAAGGGCAATGTTATTTTCCTTACACAATAGGCCATTTTCGTAATGTGACCAAATTGAATGCATAAGTCTTTGTGAAGTGCCTCAATACATATTATTTAATTAACCTGAAAAGAATAATAGTATTTCAATAGACAGAATCCGAACTGCATACATTAGTTGTTGTCAGGTTGGACAAACATTATGGCTTGACCTACCTAGCAACACTTAGTATATGCAGTTGCATTCTGACTATTGAAATACTATTATTCTTATCAGGTGAATGAAATAACTTGTATTGAGGCACTTCACAAAGACTTGAGCATTAAATTTGGTTACATTACAAAAATGGCCTATTGTAAATGAATATGAGGTAACCCTTATATCTGAGGGAGGGGGGGGGGGCTTAAGTGAAGGATCCCACTATGAAAGGCTACGATTTACCTGTATGGAACCCCCCCCCCCCCCCCTTCTCTCTGTCTGTCTGTCTCTCTCTCTTTACTATATGAAATAAGTGAACATTCTGTATAAGCCTATCTGCACTAGTTTGGCCAGGGGGGGGGGGGGGGGGGGGGGGGGGGGGGGGGGGGGGGGGGTATACCTCCCTTCGTGGTCACTGGCAGGTGGTTAAATATCAATTAACATAAGAAAAGGGGACCATGGGGTACCGCTTAGGCATTGTTGGCTATATAGTGTGAGTCCCCCAACAAATTTACACCTAGAAAAATTGCTAATTATTTTAAAAATCATCTATGAACAGTAAATTATTATATATCTTACTCTCGCAAACGACGCCTCATGTTCATCCAAGCGTGTACGCATACCACACAAAATGATACTAAATGATTCGGGATAAAACACTCTTTCATAAGATGTATAATAATTTACTGTTCATGGATGATTATTAAAATGATTAGCTTTGATTCATTTTTTGACTAACACTGTATAGAGGGCGCAAGTAGCTACAAGTATAAACTATACTCTATATTTGGGCATCATGACTACCTAATAAATGATTCGGAATTGATTTCAAAGAAACAAATCTTGGTTAATATATCTTATTTTTATGCAATCTTTCACCATGTGTGATTCCTTCCAAAGTGATATAGGCCTATTCTTCTGATATACATCACTCCACACGGTGAAATGGTGTGTGAGTCTGGTCGTTGGGAGGGGGTCGAGGAGGAGGGAAGGGGAGGGGCACAAAGCTCATCTTACAGGGATGTTGGAAGATAGAGAGCACTTTGTCGTATATGATCTTAATTATCTCTCTATCTCTCTCTCTCTCTCTCTCTCTCTCCCCCACCCTCTCTCTCTCTCTCTCTTTCGCTCTCTCTCTCTCTCTCTTTTGTTCTCTCTCTCTCCCTCTCCCTCTCTCTCTCTCTTTCTCTCTCTCAACTAACTAAAATGATCCCCTCATTATGTTGATTAAGAAGCTCATAAAACCAACTTGGAATTAAAAACTAATGCCAATCCGTGTAGATCGGTAGATCATTTATGGTACAGTAAACACAAGTGACAATTAATACCAGAGCCTTTGAAAACAAAAATTCTCCCACGGATTAATTTAATCTTTCATAATAATTTGTATTAAATGCATCAGTAAATAAAAAACAACAAACTATACAATGTACGATATAAATTTAAACTGTAAACATGTTGATGGAAATGCCTAAACAATCGCTCAGTAACAGATTTGTAAAACAGGGAAAGAAACAAAGTAACTAAAACTAATCGACACTCATCTAGAAAAAGAAAAAGAGCATGGGTAAATTTCATGACATGATAACAAAGATCAAAGGATTGGGTGCTTGAAAAGAAAACCGAAGTATTTTGGGCACATCGTGAGAAGGGAAAACAGCAGGTATGGCTTCATCAGCTCGAGATTGCCAAATAGCCCGCTATTTCTGATTTGGGAAATAATCCCGAAGTTACAAATTGCGTCTTCATCAGCTCGAGACTCGACCTCGAAACGTGAAACTCGAGCTCGAGACATTAGCTCGAAATATTTTGCTCAGCGTTCGCGCATAATATAGTGCGAGTCTTCGGCCTGGTGAAGACCACAGGACAAATAGCGGGATATTTTGCGAACTAGCCCAAGATATCTCGGGATGATTATCTCGACCAAATATCCCACTAATTGCAACTTCGGGCTAATGAAGATGCAAATTAACGGGATAATTTGCGACCGGGATAATTAAAACAGCTGGATATTTGGCAATCTCGAGCTGATAAGTACGCAAATTATTTAGGATACCGTTTTGGAAGGACATTGAGGTTGAGGTCGTCCGACAACAGTTTAGACAGACGAAATGAAGGTCTGGTCAGGAGGAAGTATGGCAAGAGCTACGACTAAAGCTAGAGATAGAGGAAGATTGCGAGCTTTTAAGGCCATGCACAGCAGTACCTATAGGCAACATCTGACAACGAGAGAGAGACAGATATGAAAAATGTTGAGCGCCAATATCTAGTTGACTAATCAAAAGCGCGGATGAGACTGAAAAACTACTGAATATCTTGAGTTCAGTTCAGATCGTTTAGTCATTTCATTTTCATAAAAAACACAGCAAAGGCAAATAAACATACTAAGGCAAAGAATGTTCGGTATATGTATGCAATAACTTCAAGAGAAATAGGAGACCAAAGGAAAAGCCCATATTATGGTGACCTTGTTTAAAAAAGTTCCCCTAAATCTGTTTATGACTCGCCTGGGAAAGACGAGTGGTGACTAGTTGTAGGCAATGTGGAATAGGTTTTAGTTGGGTTTTGAAAGTGGATAGCAACATACAAGAGCGAAGATACCAAGGAAGACTGTTCCACAATAATTGGTACCCAACAGAGAACGTGTTCGATGACTCTCAAACAGATATTTACAAGCATGCTGGTCGCAATTTTTCTTTAGGATCTGATTCTGGGCATTGTAGGGATTATACAGTAGGCCTTTACACGGCTTAAATAATCTCTTTAAAAAATGAGAGAAATAAATCATATATTTTTTAATTTCATTCGACTACCTTTCGACCATAGTAAGAGAGAGAGAGAGAGAGAGAGAAAGAGAGAGAGAAAGAAATATATTAAAGTAAACATCTTATACATGTACATGTACTTTGATTCTAACGATTTTGAAAGCTTACACCTACACCCCCCCCCCCCCCCCCCAACAACAACAAAAAAAAGTTAAAATTTCTATTTGCCATTTCTAAGCAAGGTCATTCTTGGTCTTCTGACTAATTTTCTCAATCTATGTTTTACATAAAAATATGTTTTAGCATTTCTAATAAAATATGACGTTACAGTCCGATGTCCAAGTCCAAACGTCAAAGCTTTCTCGAATCTGAATTCCCCACTAAAATCCTCTTCGATCCTTTTCTACTATTACTACCTCTCTCTCTCTCTCTCTCTCTCTCTCTCTTATTTTCATAATGCAAACACACCACAAATACTCTCACACACATTCTTATAATGTTCTGTCTTTCGGTCTCTCCGTCTTCTTCTGTTTAAGTTAGTGTCAACTGTCCATATATACGATGCTATATCAATTCCATCCATTTCATATCTTTTGCAGCCCTCCCAAACATCGTCATCAACGTCAAGCATTTGTTAAATAGTTGTTATAGATTAGCTTGTTGTGGCTGGAGAGTACGGTGGTGGTGGTTCAGCTGGTCCAGGCGGCCCGTTTAGTCCTGGTTGCCAGTGTGTTGGCAATGTTGTACTGGGATCGGTCATACCGCCTGCGTCCTGTGTCCAGACACTTCTTTCCGACCAGATGGGATGACCGTGCTGATCCAGCGGGAATGCGTACACCAACGTGTTCCCATAGCCGGGTGTCTGCGGGAAGGACTGGTACGACGTCGCCTGCCCTGCGCCATGGTCAGGGTGGACAGCGCCCTCACAATGACACGTCGTAGACCCATTTGTATTGTACTGGTTTCCAAGCAGACTTTCACAACTTCGCTGTCCATTGGCTGCTTTGACGAGATGAGGAATCCTGCACAGATCAATAAGCCAGCCACATCCGAATAAACCAAACGTGAAGAAGTAGGCAAAGCCCCAACCCCAGCGATGGAGATAAAGGTGATGCATTCCAATGATCCCTAGAGGAAACCACATCAGGTAGGCATCATCCATGTGGAACTTCTCGTTATCGGTCTTCAGCTCTCTCTTTGTCCTGAAAAACAAGTACGGCATCCTCACCAGGTCAACCAAAAAACCTACACCCATGCATCCGAACGTCAAGAAGTAGATGACACCGAACATCCATCGGCGCATGTAGAAGTGATGCAGCCCGAGGAATCCCAGCGGGAACGCTAGAGAGTAGGCATCATCCAGGTACATCCGGTCACTGGGGTTCGCAGACAGAGGCCGCCCAGAGCGTAAAGTGCGGATATCCCTGTTGGCGCGTCTGGTCAGAGCCCAGATGCGGCAGAGATCGTACAGCCACCCGACGCCGAAGAGACCCATGGTAAGACTGTAGAGGATACCATAACCGGTACGACCAAGGTAGTAGTGATGGCCACCTGCAGGAGACAGAGATAAGAACAATCAAATCAAGTTTTAGTACTGTACTTCATATTTCCGCTGCCCCGTGCCAATGGAACAAATTCTCTCTGTTTCTAAGAAATAGTACTTCACTAGACTTTTTCAAAAACATCTGCAAAGTTGTACAATCTTCTTAATTTGTCCTTAGACTATAAGGGACAGTGCCATGTATCCGGAAAATTCACTATTATACATGTATCAATCAAATTCTTCTTCTTCTTCTTCTTCTTATTGCTATTATCATCATCATCATTAATTTGTATTATTATTTGTATTATTATTAATTTATCATTGTCATTATCAGTAATATTATCCTTAATTTTACCGTTACTATTATCATTTTCATTATGATTAATATTATTAACATTATTATTATCATTATTATTATTAATACATTATTTCAGTATCGGCTGTATAACATCAGCATTTTATATCACTACATATATATATTTTTTTTGGGGGGGGGGCAGGGGGTAGTTCCCTCATCATTTAAATCAGATTAAAGGATGGAAGATGCAAAATTGAAATTATGCATTTTTCACAAATAGATAGGGTGAGGGAATGCTCAATAAATTAAGATATAAAGATGTTGACGTAAATATTAATTTTCAATATAAAAAGAAAATTTGATTACGAAATTACGTTTGCCAAGAGTTTGCTTTGCGAGTAATACGGAATGCAAACGGTCGGCAATATAATCACCTTTATTTTTCTGTTCGTAATCTGCTGTGATTTATTTGTATTCACCTCTAAAACTTTCTGTTTACTTCGCTGTCTCCTATTTTTCTAAATTTACGATAATTTTATTTCATAAGTTCATTGTTGAAATGTCTTTATTTATGTAAACATGATTAAATTATTCTTGTCAGGACCCCTTGGTCGACCAGTTATGTCACTGATGGTAATTCGATCGTTACAAGCGTCATCATAAATATCATCATCATCGCCATCAACTTAACACTATGATTATTATCAATAATTATTGATTTTAATATTATCATTAATATTATCATTATTATTATCATTACTATTAATATCATCATCAACATCATTATTATCATCTTCATCATCATCATTGCATTCATCATTATTATTATCTTTGTTATTATTGTTATTATGAACATCATATAATCATCATAACGACAAATACCCCCTCCTATTATTATTATTATCATCATCATCATCTTTGTTATCATCATCATCATTATCAATATCATTATCATCAATACTATTATGAACATCATAATTATTATCATAACGACAATAACCCTCCAAAATCGATAAATTAATGCCCAACCGGCCCGGCACCACCTGCTCCATAATCTATATAAGAAAAGTAAAATATCCATTGGTGGTACTTACCAAAGATGCCAACAGGTGGTAACCAGAAGAGGTAAGCTGAACATAAGCTCCTCTCATAAAGCTCATCATATGGACCTCCGTAGAGAACATAGCCTCTCTCAGCATCAGCTCTTCTCTTCTCGTTTGTTTTCTTTACCAACAAGGCAGTCGGAACCAATCAATGATCCATCCGATTCCAAACACCCCGAAAGTGAAGAAGTAGAGGAATCCAATCCCTATACGTCCCAAGTAAAAGTGGTGCAGTCCAAGGAATCCGAGGGGGAGGCACAGGATGTAAGCTTCTAGGAGGGACTTTTCTTCGACTTTTATCGGAGCCCGCTTTGTCATTACATCGCCCCTTTCCTGGTCAGTGTCCGTATATGGGGTTTGTTGTGAAGGCTGGGGTGGTGCCGGTTGCGGGAAAGCTGTTGCTGCTTGTTGTGGGGGTGGTTGATATGGTTGTGGTGGTGGCTGTTGAGGCTGTGGTTGATGTTGTGGCGGTGGTTGTTGCATTCCTTGGTAACCATCCCGCTGGTCTTCCTGAGATGGAGCAGAGGGGTGAGGGTACTGGATAGGTTGGGCCCCGGGGTCGGTCGGCGGGTGAGGGTAGGACGTACTCGGCGATGGCATTCCCGACCCTCCTAACCCTCTCGCTATATCTACCAACCTTGGTTTATCCGACGAGTTCTGGTACCTCTTTGGGTTATCCAAATCCATGTTCACGTCACGTTTAATTCCGGCATTTACTTATTCAGGAAACAATACGTAGATCACTTCCTTTCATAAAAGAAAGGTGCTATAAGCGCGGACTTTTCCCAGTCAACAGGTCAACAGTGTTTCGATCTATATAATTATATCTCTTTGCCTTTATTTTGTTGGAACAATAGTGTGTGTATAATCCCGTATCTCCTTGACCCTCGTTGCACACTCGATGAAACCTGTATTTCTTACAGTATCTCGGTCACCTTTATCCAAAACTATCACGTCACGAGATAATCTGAAGTTTATGATCCTTTGCCGACTGATAACATGATAATCATAGATACATCACCGTCACGTACAATGTATGCCACAGGCGAAGAGATTATTACACCGTACAGTATACATGTACATGTGCAGAACACAAAAACCCAGTTCAGTGGTTGAGGGAGCCTAGTTCACATTCACAGACCTTTTTAGTCGTAATGCGTCTCGTGGTGTCTGAATTGTGATGTTATGTAGACTATAATAGTCTACTGCACACCATAGACTATTTGTTATAGCTGTTCCTGATACAGCCAGATACTGACAGAGTTAGGCTCAGCATAAGGCTTTATACAATTGATTTCAATATCAAATAGTGCCTGTGCATGCAGACTAGTAAGGCTACGTTATGTACTATTCGTAGAACGGAAGATGGTCACATGATGATGTAGTGGTTATTTGCAGACCCGGCGCAATGAACAAACACAATAGAAGATCGGAGAACGTAAAGGTATCACTATGCATGACTGGACTTCTTCATGCACACTCACGTGATGTTATATTTGATGTCTTGCATGAACAGAGGTCGAGACTCCCACTTATGCGACCCTGTTTACACGATTTTTTAATGTTTATATCCTATTCCAACGCATGCAAACGAAATAATGCTTCCCGAATGCGTTAACATAAATAATTGAATGACTACTCATACTATTTCCTAGCTACATGGTCAAATGTCATTTTATTGTGATCATTCTAAGCTGCTTTGAAACATATTGTTTTTATAGAGCTAAAACTTAAATGAGAACAAACCCGACAAGTCAACACTCTTGAAAGTGTTCAATTACTGTGTATGATTAAACGCAAGATATCTTGGATGATTGTCGAATTAGCCATGATAATAATTCACTTTATTTTCAAACACTATATCCCTGTGGCCATAATAAGCTGATACAATTAAGGCATGTTTAGAAGAATGAACTTTGCGAAACCATTTTAAACCAGGTAAATTTAATTTCTAGTTAAGTCTTCAAAATGAAACTACTCAGAAAAGAGTGAGAAAGATAGAGGAAAGAGTAAGAGGAAGAAACTCGGTAATAGTATACAGAAACTTGATAGGCAACCCATGTTTACGGCTCATCCGGTGTTGTCTTTCATTTTCTGTTTTTGTATTTATTTGTTTTTAAACTGTGTTCGACTCTCACTGTGTGTTTATAGTTTTATACATAGATTTGTGGAGTATTAATATATTAAGGAATCATCTTTCGGGAAGTATAACGAGAAATATATTTCAAAATAAACATTCTCGATTATGAAAGTAAAAACGTCATCAGTGCAGTGTTGAGCTGGCAACAGATCCAGGAAATAATCGGCCAATTGACTCTTTTAAATCCCCTCTACATCTGTGATCAGAGCCCAACAAATGTGATGACTTAATTTCACTTAAATTGTATCATAATATGAAAGAGGATGGCATTTAAAACACATTTCTGCATAGATTTAAAAAAATTGAAGTCGAAAAAATACCCCCCCCCCCCCCCTAAGTCCGGTGTGTAAAGTCAATACGGGCCGGATTTTTGTGTACTACGAGCCGGACTTTGGTGCGTGAAAAGTACCCCTATACCGGACATTTTCGGAACAATCATGTGGTCCCTTCGACCCCGGAGTGGGGGGGGGGGGGGCGAGGTCGAATGTCGATGAAAAAATACACAATTTAGGTGCATGCGTTCAACAGAAAACTCAAATTATGTATTCTTTTATCAATATTTGTCTTCAAACATGTTGGGGAATATCTTTGCAGGAGTGTGTCTCAATTTGACATCCTCCCCCTTCCCTATTGGTGTTTAGATTTTGTCTGCTTTCCTTTTCCTTTTTTTTCTTATCTCAACAATACAGTGTATCCTTTTTAAGGGGTTGGCGTTCATAAGGCTAATTGCCCTATTTGTTATACCCCACATCCCCATAATTTTTTTTTTGCTCCCCTCCTTTGTATTTTTCTTGTAATCAATCTTTCATCTGTATACCATATTTGTATGTTTTAATGTTTTGTTATGGAGAATGAAATGAAATGAGATGAATTGAATTGAACATTAAGTAAAATTTTGCAATCCGACAAATTTATATGGCGAATGAGGGGCTCCCAACACTTAAGAGGGGATTTAAAACAACAACTACATCAACAGAATGCAGCGGCAGCAACAATAACCACAAGGACAACAGCATCAACGAGAACATGAATTAAGCAAGGGGAAGAATTGTTGCCCTCCCCCACCACTACCACCTCTGACAATACTGAATAAACGATTTATGCCACATTGGTCCTAAGTCATAAGTGAGACCGTCAACAGACATTATATCGCATTCTGAGGTATGCAGGGATGAAGCCATGCACGGTAAAGTTTTTCAAAGAAATATCTCTGGCAATTCAGCAACAAGGTCAAAGGGGGATGAGCAATCGCCCCTGCCCCCCCCCCCCCCTGGATGCATATCTTGTCCTATTCGAATTTGGAGTTTCAAAGTAGTGTATAATTTTAGAGGAGTTACACATGTATACGGCGAAAACTATTAGAAAGAGAGAGTGATGGAGAGCGCAGACATAATGAGGGAGAAAGGAGAGAGTGAGAGAAAAAGAAGTAGAGAGAGAGAGAGAGAGAGAGAGAGAGAGAGAGACAACCTGAACTGGAATAGGTTTCAAATGTGAACGGGGTTGCACTAAAATCCAAGTATGATCCGATCTCGTGATATTAGGGTGATATCAAATACGGTCAAGAAAATTAAACAATTATGACGTCATAATCTAAAATATGTCGACTTTGAACTTGTCTGTGGATTCTATGGAGAGTCGTTAAATTTAACCAGTACCAACTCGAATCCTACATGTTCTTTGCTTACATTATGTTTATTTTTTTTTCTTTCTTTCTCTATTTTGTTGGCAATTTCCCCACATTGGTTCTTTTTTTTTATCTCCATCTTTCTTTCTTTCCCTTTTCCAGACGTTCATCTGTCTTCAATCTTCTTTATTCTTGTTTTTTTAATATTTTAGATATCATTTGAGAATGTTAAAAATAAGAGATGTAACGTGTATAAGTTGATAAGTTGATAATGAACCAATTCTTCTTTTACTGGTCATACAGTTATAGGCATGGACAAGGGATGTTTCTTTCCCCGGGATAGTATTATTTTATCTTGAATCATTGAGGGCTAGTTAAATTGCAATGGGGCCCCTTTCATTAAAATAGAGTTGGTCGGTTAAATGATTATAATTGTTCATCTCTCACTCGATCTTGTTCCAGGTATCTGATCTCTTTCTCTCTCCCTTTAACCCCCCCCCCCCCTCCATCACCCTCTCTGTCTCTCTCTCTCTTTCTCCTTTATTTCACTTTCTTCTCTTCACTTTCCCACTCACCCCCCCCCCCCCCTCTCTCTTTAAACCACACTATCTCTCTCTATTTCACCTCCTTTATTTCACTTTCTTCTCTTCCCTCTCTCTCTCTCTCTCTCTCTTTCTCCATCACTCTCTCTTTACCTCTGATTCCCTTGCTACTACATGTAAGTAACATGTAATTCTGATACCGCCAAAAAAAAAAAACACTTTTTTTTAAATATGGCTGCTTCACGGTCGTGTAACATCCTACCGAGTATCAAGCAAAACAACACGATTCCGTACTGAGTAAGTTCATTCAGTTTAATAAAATTTAATGTCCTGCTTGATACAAATGTTTAAATCTACATAACTTATCAGCTCACATGCAGCTTTGCCCACTATACTTTAAAATGCTAAGGCAATCGACCTAACATGTCTATAGATAGAGCCACTGGTTCTTGAATAAGCTCATTTACAATATAACAATATGCCAGTAAATACAACAGTAATATAAATAAAACTGCCCACAAATTGTTTATACCTTAATACAAAGCTAAATGATGTACATGTAGTTTATGTTTCATTTTTTTCCCCTTCTTTTAAACTGAATGGAATAGCATGCACGTTACTACTTTAAGTAAAAACACCAACCTATGAGTTAATTATGACTGACCGCTATGATCTTTGAAATATCATTTTGAAATATCAAAAAATTAACTGTATGTACATTATTGCACTTTTAATTCTAAATGTGTATCACTGGTTGTAAATGTAACTAAAAGCCAATATTTAAACTACAAAACAGAGACATTCACATACAAACATTAAGATATAGTTATTGGTCCAACTCATATGAACAAGACATTCAGAGCCAATTATAACAAAATAATCATACAGTTGACAGCTAAAATATTCATGCCCCTGTCTTTTTTGGTGTGTTCTCAAGAATGAAATTTGGATTGGTTGGATTAGGGCCTTTCTTGAATACTCCAAGATGTAAGATGTCACACTCACAACAAACATAAATTAGGACAAATAATTGTTCACATATATAAAAATTACAAAACTTGGTAAGGGTATAAATAATTAAGTTGTTAAATGTTACTACATTGTGTTTCAAAAAATAAAAAAAATGAATCGAAACCATTTCACATGTAAATACCACGAATTAACAAAAATATGAAATGAATATGAACTTATTTATAACAATCAAAGCATCCCCCCCCCCCCCATAATAAAAGGAATAAAAATACAAAATTGTGACCACCGACAGTCCTGTTCCCAGAATGCGCTACTGGAATTGTTCATAAAATTGCTAGACTAGTGTAATCCCTGCTATGGCCTTCCTCTGGCTATAATGAATGATAACCTATCACCAGTCCCTCCATGCTCAGGTCAGACTGGTAAATGTTCATGCTCTTGGTAGATTGGTGTAGTCCCTGCTACGGCCTTTATTTTGGTGTAATAAATGATAACGAGTCTCTCCATGCTCAGGTCAGACTGGTTACAGTTAATGTTCATGCTCTTGGTAGATTGGTGTAGTCCCTGCTATAGCCTTCCTATGGGTATAATAAATGATAACCAGTCTCTCCATGCTCAGGTCAGACTGGTAAATGTTCATGATCTTGGTTGATATAATCCAGTGATTCCAGTCCCTGCTATGGCCTTCCTCTGGGTATAATGAATGATAACCTATCACCAGTCTCTCCCCACTCTGCTCTTTTGACTTGATACACAGTAATCCATGCTATCAATCCTGTAGTCCAC